TTGGGAGATGCAGCATACCACGATATCCTGGCTTCGGCTGGGCTTGAAATAACCCTTTTGCTGTCCTCCGCTCTTTGCATCAGTGGCTTCCTAGCTTCGAGCGAGGGCCTTTGTGTAAATGAGAAGTGTGTCTACGTGAAAGAATATGTAGAGAGAGTCGTATTGGCATTCGCATCAAGCGCATTGCGCATTTTTCGAATTCTGGCCCCCTTCCAGGGACCTTGATTTTTACCAGCTGGCACTAACGTCTTTTAATTGGTCAGCCGGTTAGCGCGATTGATGCTAATAACAAAAACACAAACTCGCTTGTCCCTCCGGTACTTGATTGTCCGCGGAGATGATAAACTTTGGCGAATGACTGGAGAAGAGACACAACATACATACCGGCCGTGCCTGAGAAGTGAGTCTGCAAAACACGCACCTTGTTGTTCTTGTTGCTGTTGTTGTCTTCTAATGTCCGTACTGGTCCAACTGACACGGATGCCTTGCGTGGTCACAAGCCAACCACCCCAAAAAGGGGTGCACCTTGCAGCGGGTGTGTCGATATCAGAAACGCAGTTGTATGAGCGTGCGAGATGCATCGAAACATCTGTTGTACACATACCTGCACAGCTCCGACACACTCATCCTCCCACCCCCAGACGCGCATCTCAGACAGAAAGGCTCCGTCCACGCATTCGAACAAATATGTCTCGGTGTCTTGGTGCGCATCGAGATCACCCGCTCTTCCAGGACTGGAGTAAACCTCGCACAGTAAACCTGCAGCTTGCGACTCCGTGGGGGTAGGAGGCAGCAACAGCAGCAGAGGCAGCAGTGCCCACGACATTGCGGTCCGCCGGATCATGTGGAGGCAGTCGCAACTTGGCGTCTTGAGCTCTACTAACCACCCAAGGGCTCCTGATCGTGGCGAGGTGGGCCTCGATGCTGTAAAGGTCATTTGTTGTTCGTTTGTCCGCCAGCAGAGAAGCTACTGAGAAAGGCGTAGCTGTGTGTGAGAGCATGCGCCGCCCGGTGCGGCGCAAATGTTCCGAATTTGTGTTGACCGTTGGTTTGGTTCTGTCGGTGCAATGTTGAACGTTTGAACACTTCTCGTCTCTCAACAACGTCAGCAGTCAGCAGCAGGTCCTTACCGACGCACGATTACGACGTTTCCAGTGGCTGATACTACTGCAGGTGCTGCGGTCGGCAGATGAAGGTTGCACGTAGTGGAGTGGGGGTACACATACCGCCCTTTTTTTCTTTCTCCTGTGTTCTTCATATGCCCAGCTGGAAAATATATCTAGTAGCTCCGTATTCGCTTGTCAGGTGAGTGTCGCTGGGGACGATCCCAAAATAAAGTTACAACTGCTGTACGGGACTTACACGTGCACCGCCCCCGCTGCTACATTTTGCCTCACCGCAATGTCGACAAGAGCGTCGTTAAAGGTCGGATTGGTTAGGTCAATTCGCCGGAACACTTGACAGCAGCACCCGGAACATAATCGAGCGCAGAGCGCGAAGAAGGCAGTACAACTGAGCGTGCTACTGCTTGCTATAGACTAACGGTAGGTAAGTACACCATTTGCTGTTGATTTTGTTCCTGGGATGAGGCGGATTGCCTCGTCGCCTCCTAGCGCGGCGGTGTGTGTGTGTTTGGCCAGAGATGTTTACCCCGTATGCTATTCGTACCAAGCAAGGCGGATAATTGAGCTGCCGTCTAGCCGCGACGCTGCATACCAAGTGGTGGTTCGTCTGCGTGACTCACCAGTGTGTGTGTGCTTTTATTATTAGCATCGACCGCGCTAACCGGCTGACCAATGAAAAGACGTCAGTCTCAGTGCGGCGGGAAACACAAAATGTTTCTACAGTCCACTAGACTATCTGGGACCCCGGGACCGAGTGTCGTATGGGGGGCTACGCTATTCTCAGGATTAAAGACAGATACCGTAGTAAATAATAACAGAAGAAAACTGCACGTGTCTACTAAGACTGTCACCCTGCACTCGACTTCGTTTAGGAGTGCTCTCTCTATCATTCTTCTTGCTTTCACCACTACTACCATCACTATTCTCATCGTCATTTTGGCAGCAACTTTTTGGCAGCTCTTCTTCTTGTCTGTCTCTCCGTCTTTTGTTGTGCGGGAGGTCCTCTGGCTCGAAGCTCTTGCTCTCTTCCACGCCATGATTCCCTTCTCGACTGCTGTCTTGGTCTCTGTCTTGTCCTCCTCTTGTTCCCTCTGTTCCTCCTCCTTCATCGTTGCCACTCGAATTTCCCTCATCGCCATCATGATGATCGTTTTCGTTTGTACTACTATCGAAATCCCAACCTATTGGCCGGGGTGGAAATTGATCCATGAGCAGTCCATGACGTTTAAAAACATCACGAGTTCGTACGGACAGGAAACGAGCCAGCTCGAAAGTAAATCGTCTCCGAATCCTATTCGTATGAAAAGCCTTCAGGCGAATCAAGGCTGTTTCGTCGGCGAAATTCCCTTTGCAAAAGGCTTCGTATGCCAAGTGGTTGGCGATAGCTACGATAAGTCGATTGGTGCCTTTGCCAAGACCACCATACGTCGAAAAAGCAGCAGTAAGGAGGGTAGATCTAGACGGGTTGAAAGTTCCCGCATAGTGTTTTGCCTTACTTGCAGCTCGATCTTCGAGGGCGGATCCTGGCGTTTGGAGTGACTTGTCGATACTTCGCCTAGCAGATGGATTGACGACTGTGACATCTATAAGGATGGATTTGGTGCAGAGTTCCTCTTCTTTATCTCCTGCGTGTAATCCTGGGGGGATCACTAAATCCATCTTGTAGAGCCCTCTTCCCCTACCAGTGCCTGTAGTAAATGGGGAAGAGTCTTCAACAGCGATTGGCATGTGGCATTCGCGTAATGTCTTTAACAGCACGCGAACCATCCTATTGTGCAGGAAGGTTGAGGCGCCGGTCTTCGCGCAGACCAGGGAATGGGGTCGGCTCAACCGTTCCATACACGGTGACAATGCACCTGCGCTGCAAAGTCTGCCTGTATCGTAGTCAGTTCGGTCGTGACTCCCCAGTACACGACCGATCGATTCTCGATAAAGGTCAGGTAGCATCCGTTCATCCATCGAAAGCCCCTGCGTTGTCAGCCATGATAGAACCCCCTTGTCTTTTGCTTCCTCCAAGCGAATCAAGGCTCTCTTCTTTGAGGTTTCCTGGGATCCTGCTTTTTTCAAGCCTGTTACTACCATATGGCGGACTGCTGCATGAAGGGGCTTCGACAGGACGGCTTGAGCTCCGAAGACTTGATAGTACCGGCCAAATTCATTTCGCCCGCATGTCGACGGAGATGGTGGTTCCTCGTCAGGGTTGTCGTCTCCATTTTGTCTCTCGGCTACTACCTTCCCGGCCTCCATGAGATAAACCCCTCGAAGAGTGGGAGTTAAATCGTCAGATGTAACAAGTTTAGTCCATGACTGACCAACAGCTCTTTCGAGCTTGTCTTTGGTGATGATCTCTTTTAGTTTCTTGAGGGAGTCAATCAGAGCTAATCCTGTTGGTAGCTGTGCAAGTTGCGGTAGGCATTGTTCAATGGTGAGTCCTGTTGATGCCTGCACTGACTTGGAGAACACTAATGCTTGCCCTGCCACAAAAGCCGATTCTCGAATGAGAACACTGCTCGTAATTCCAAGCCCCCCTTCACGTATGGGCAGGTGCACCTGTGCCCGAGCTGAATCTTTGAAGAAGTCGACCTCACTCTTCTCTGGGTTTGCGCGTACCTCTTCCACGGTTGGAATTCCCACAGTGTTTGCCATTTTGCCGAGAACGATCTTGCTTACTGCCCATATCATCAGGTTGTCATGTTCTCTTGCGGCAGTGTTGGTAATGCTCGGTGCAATCGTTCTCAGCAGATGAAACAAGCGTGGAACGCCAGACAAACGTAGCAGTTGGTAGCTCGCTTGCGGGTCGTCAAGTGTGGAAAGGCGGCGTATCAACTCAGCAGGGTTACCGCGGACGAAGTTGGTGACGAAACTCCTCTGGAAGCACTCTGTCCCTACTGGGACTCCAACAATGGCCATACCACCTTCAGCAACCGAGAGACCCGTTTTCGTCAAATCTCGCTGTTCGTCGTTTGTCAAAGAGGAGAAGAATAATCCTTCTGGGAAAAGGACTGTGTGTGTGTGCTTTTATTATTAGCATCGTGTGTGTGTGTGAACACCTAGCTAGATCACCGAGCCAAGTTCTGTGTTGATACCGTCCTTCTTTGGTGGGCATGATGAATAGAGGCGACGGCTTCGGCATCATCAGCGGGCTGTCGGTTCCGTTTCTCCGATCTGTTCAACGAGCCACAAGGCTGCAACTTACAGCAGTATGACCACTTCACTCCAACATCATCCCAGAGATCGCTTTTCCGTCGGGTACCGTGTTGTACGGTACCGAGACGAACACCCTTAGAAACCTACATTATTTTATGTCAGTCGGCTTTTGCGTTTGTGCTCGACAGCACCGCTGGTGCCACTCTACTGTCCTGCTGCCGCTGCTACGCGCCGTAAATTTCGTCCGGTTTTCACGGAACTGTGGAGAAAAGAACATTGGAACGTTTCATCCCCGGTATGTTGTAGCTTTTTTCACTCCCGCACCCTAGCCCACCCGTAACTCCTCCCCACGCTTCTCACCTGGGACGCACCTACGCGTTCAACTGCTGCTGCTTTTGCTGGTGTTTTTCGTTCAGCCGAAGGCATCGCCAGGATGAGGCTACCTTATCGTCTTAGCTTGGCGGGCGAGCTCGGGCTGATGATAACACTTGTCTGTAGTCTCGCTGGGACAAGGACACTAGTGTGAGTGACGCGTACGGAGATCGGCAAAGCGACGATGTGTTGAATACGGGTTTTGGAGAGTTGACGCGATGACTACGCCACGAAAGTTTCGGTACTACTGATTGTGTGTTGAGAAAGAATTCACATTACTTTTCACGGCGCACAAGTAAGCAAGAGTCTGCCTGAGAATCACTTCCGGCGGCAGTGCACAGCAGCAACCGATCAGTGGCGGAGCCAGACGAGGAGCAACGGTTGCGAATATTAATCGAAGAAAAAATCTTTTGGGGCTGCTTCGGAGTATGATCGTGACTGTTGGTGTGGGGGGAAAGGAACTACGTTCTCCCAGTAGGGCAACTGCTACTGCAATTCAAACCTTGAAGAAATTCGCTGCGTTTTCTGCGCGTCGAACGCTTAGGCCTGTTCTGAGTGTTTCGAGGAAGCCCCGGCTATTGTCTCTGCGTAGGTTCCTTTCACATGTGTCTGGCTGTTTCTCGCGCTCCCGCTCTTCTGTGGCTGGGTTGTGGCCTCCTTATAGTGTATGGTGCTACCTTGCGGGTGAATGGAGACCTGGTCGACTGTCGTAGCCCGTTTTGACCCATGCAACTCTCTCCCGGGTTGAACGAGAACGTTTGGAAACACGAGGTGGTAAGTTTGAGAGTATCTCACAGCGATTCTCTGCACAAGTGCCGTGCGTCGGTGGCTGCACCAACATCTTCGCTGTGTTTTCGTCCAAAACGTCAACGCGCACTACGAGGGCTTTTCACTCATTCCACGCCTCCGGGCTTTTCCTAGTTCAAAGGTACCAAATATATTGTTTGGTGTTTGGTTGTCTCCCTTGAGTTCAACGACAACTCCCCAAGCAAGCGATGGACAGTCACCTCATATTGTGTTCGGGCAAGATCCTGAGACTCTTATACCTGATATTGCGTCCCGACGTACAGCCTTGGGACAAGAATGGGTCCGGCCGACGCGGTGCAATACCGTTTTTCAGCTGAACTTCGTGTGTGACAGCTCCCCACCGACCTCAACCGTCGGTGACAGGTGTAGGCTACTCATCTTCGCATGCCTACGGCCGCCAGAGGACGTGTGTGGACATAACGGCAATTTTTGCTTAGTGCTGGGATGTCAAATGCTTTTGAGCACTTGGCGCACATGCTTTCGCTGCATACGGCCGCCGTACCTTCCTGCAATCGTCCAACCCGGTGCGTTCGATGTCTCATTTAATCCCCGAATACTTCTTGAACTTAACGTCGTGTCTGGGCAACCTCAACGCACCTGGAGCTTGCTCTCGCTGCTGTGGTGCTTGTGCTTTCGCGTCACAACACAGGCATGGCGCCATCGATATCACCTGCGATGCGGAGAAGGACAACCACATCGACTGGGATTGTGTGTTTGTGAGTAGAAAGTGTATTGCCTTGTTGCGGAAATAGCTAGGCTGTTCAACACGTGGAGGATTGTGTCTGGTACCACCAATATCGAGCGGTAGGCTCCGTGCGTAATAGGATCTTTGGCATGAGCTGGGTATCCTGTTATAAATGCCATCCCTAACATAGGAACAGCATTATGGTGCCCAATGCTCTGTAGTTTCAATCCAGCAACCAATAGGGAGAGATAGTGAGAGGGTGACTCCAACAGACGATAACATCTCCTGAAAACGATTTGCTTGTAACTCATCTTGGTGCCCAGTTTATGGTTCTTGGTACAAAACACGTCCAGCACCCCGGCCGCGAAGCAAGAGCGACCTGAAAGCGCGGGTCTCAAACAGTGTAGGTACCCAGCTTTGTGTGGAAATTATTTTCTTAGATGAAACCGAACGTCCATCCTGGTTCGAGCTTCGGGGTGGCGTCGGGTCTGTATCACCGGATATAGACTAAGGGTACTACACCGTTGGTTAGGCATGGTTGAGGAGAAGCAGTAGTTTTCGGAGACAGAGAGATTTGCTGAGCTTGACAGGCCGCCATGTATCCATGACTCTGGTAAGACAAGGCTGCTTCGCAAGAGTACTCACAGCACTCACATACAAGACGAGCAGCACACAGCCACGTGCTGCCGATGACATGATACCTGGTCTTGGTAGAGACGCCAGGTCAATAAGCGTATGGCCCCAGCACGTGCGCGTCCCCCCCCCCTCCCCCTCGACCGTTGCCGGGTCACTGTCCCTGCGAACGCCGTATTCTTCGAACCAAGGGACCGGGTTCGCTGGACGAGGTGAACAAAAAGGGGGGGTACATGACCAAGTGTTCCGGCAAACGTCACTATCCGTGCTCCTTGTAAGTGGATGCAGCTTGCATGCCCGTCTAGAGTTAATTCCAAGGTGGACGAAGCTTACTGTGTACCTGGTAGTAGTTGAGGTGGACAGCATGCTCCGACCTGCCCAACCTTAGCTTCCTCTTGTCGGTTCACGCGTGAAGATATAATAATTTAGCACGGGAATAGCTCGGAGCTGTCGCGTGGGGTTGATGCAGACTTCCCCCTATCAGTCGACTAGACTCCAGCCCGTTTCATTGATCACTGTAGTACAGTCATACAAAACGCCGTTCCACTCCCCTACGTTCTCCAATAACCACACAAATTGGTAGACGCTGTGCATCCTCGAAAGCAATGATGCATCGGCAATGATCGACCAGACACAAAATTATCTATTTGTCGCCAGTTGTTGTTCACGCCCATATGCTTCGAAGAACTCCGTAAGGTGGATTTTAGAAAACGAGCAAACAACTAAACAGACCAGGTTACCCGTCTTCTCTCCTGCAAAGGTTCAGTGCGGCGATGGAAGGCGGCAATTACTTCGAATAGGGATACGTGTGTTGATCTCCCCCTACCCCCTTGCCTCCTGCTTACCACTCCCCCATTCCCGAATAGCGCATGGGGGCATACACGAGAGAGGTACCGAACCTACATGATAGTGTTTTTCGCCCCCGGGCAAAACTCATCGTTAAATTCTTCACAAAAAGCGCCAGCATCAAAGTACCGGGATCCAGCAGATCATTCATCCATGGCAAGGGGATACTCTTAGTTCCCTCTCTCAGACATCAGTAATCACAACGCTGACCTCAACCCAATCCCCCGCGCGCGCGTCCAAGGTTTGTAGTAAAAAAGGACGAGGAGCGGTCCGAAACGAAGGTCAACGAAGGCCCCGAAGGCTTCGACTACTACAAGGGCGAGAAGTACATAATCAAGTACAGCTTTCGAGCGGAAGAGGGCATGCGTGTGTCCTCCAAGTACACACACCTGGGACAGCTTGTGAGTATTTTTTCGAGCTATGTTTTTCTCGAGTGATTTTTTCTTGTTTTATCCTTCTCCTTGTGTGCTTGCTCTCTCCCTCTCTGGCTATCTCTTCTCCTCCGTTCTCGGGGGTTCAGTTTCTTCTTGTAGACCATTTCGAGATTCACCTATCGCACATAACACGCACACGCTGTATGCCGGGGTGCGCACGAGCAGAAGGGGACCATCGGGAAGGGAAAGGTCAAGGGCACGATGATCAAGCTGGACCCGATCTACTGCCTAACCGCGAACAAGGACGGCCTCATGGTCCGTTTCAGCAACCGAGAGATGCCCGACAACTTCCACGAGGGCCTGAGCAAGCACCTGAACTGGAAGGATTCGACCGGACAATGGGTGCACGTGAAGATCGTCACCACTTTCGGGGAGTTTATGGTGGTAAGGGTCTCGTGGGAGAGCTTCCCGAAAGCAAGTGCATTCATCACTTCGACTTGAAAACAATCGAATTACCTGTTGTTGCGCCTCTGAACCCCTGCCTGCCCTTCCGTTGTTGCGCCTCTGAACCCCTGCCTGCCCTTCCCTTGATGCTGTGTACAACGGTCGTGCGACCATGGCACGGACAACCGAGGGCGGAAGAATACGGTTTGACCAAGCCAATCAGAATTCAGCGGCATCGATGTTGACCACTAGGAGCTACATTTTTTCTCCATCTCTCTCGACATTCGATGGACATCTTCCCTTTGTGGCAATGGCACATCTCGTATATCCATTCTTCCGCAAATCCTAACCCGTCACCGCAACAGTAGCAGAGGGTGGCACACTGTACGCTCGACCCTCTCAAAAGAATCTCAACCCATCGATGGCCCAGGTGAGGCTTTCCGGCGCTGTCGAGGGCAGGGCGGTCTGGCCCAGCAACCTGAAGCCTGTGGCTTGGCACAGGGACGCTGACCGTGTGCGGATGAAGCTCGGGCTTTACCACAAGATTGACCAGGTCTACGACGGGAAGGTGAGGAGCGTGTCGAGTACAGTTGTGGCTCCGTTCTAAGAGGTTGATGTGACAAATGCCCTCGACCCTCTTTTATGGAGACCCTCTTTTATCGGAGCCCCCTCTCATGAAGCTCCCTCTAATAACGGAGCCACGGCTGTAGTATGATAGCGCGCGGAATTCTCTCTCTCGTGTGTGGTGAGGAGTGCGGTGTAAGAAACCTTCCGCGCGCTGGTGTCCGTGGTGCGCTCAGGTTCGGGCTTTCCAATGAATTCCACAGGAGTAGTTTGTTGTATTGGTCAGATATGTACTACTGTTGAAAGCTTCGCCGCCAAATCGATGGGATACACAACGGCTAGATCAATCGAGCGCATCGGCATACGGGCAAGCAGTACATATATACGCCAAGAACCTAGTATCGCTAGAGCTGCTGCTTACGAGGGAGATACCATGTATAAAATACTGCGAAGAATGTGTTGTCTGGCTCACGCCGCACGTGGTTTCCTTGGCTAGCTTCCCCGAACTGCTGCTGTTATTCCTTGTGTGAACCCCGTCCTTCTTTCTTTTCTCCAACACGCGGCAGGTGGAGTACCGAGACATCTCTATCGAAGGACCCAACGGTAAGGACACATGCGCAGTACCGTAAATGACACAAGGCAAAACACCCCCTGGATCGATTTTTCAAATCTCGATTTCTCAACAACAGAAAGAGTCACGGCGCCGAAAACGGCGGTGTTGGAACCGTCTCGTCGAGAGCTTTCCAAAAGTGTATCGTTTCGTTTATGCATCCTCTTCGTCGTGGAGTAATCGAGCTTTGAAAATTGATCCAGGGGGTATGTTATCTTGTGTCATATACGGTAGTCTTTTCGGTGGGTGTGAGGAGAGGTAGTGATCGAACCACCCTTAAGTGCACCGCAACCCCGCGAACAATTCGAGCACGAGACGGCCGAGGGAACGGAATGGTAGTGTAAGATGCTTCTATTCCAGGTCTTCGCAGATGTCCTGCAACGCAGACGAAGCCGACGACGAAAATTTTGGAACCTCGCTTGACGTCGCCCTGGGGGTGTCCAATAATCAGATTTTATCTCTGGAACAAGCATGACTCGGTAGTGCCTCGCGGGAGCACCGAAGAACTTGCACGGTGGCTCCATGCTTCTTGCCGAACGGCCTTCCCGTGGCTAGCGCTGCTGCACAGGGCACAAACAAATCCTATGTATCAACTTCCAACACCTACCATTGCCTGCTGCGCCCTGTCCGCCGTCTCGAACAACTCCTTCTTCTGAATTCAACACAGGGATTATTCGCACCAGCCCTGAACCCGACCACGAGGGGCACCTCTACGTCGGTTGCTTCGCGGACGACGACGATGACCACGTATTCTCGGGAAAGAAATATGTCGACGCACACATGACCAATGAGGTATCTAGAGCAGTATACGTACATACGTGATGGGATTATTTGTACGGGGACATGGCGACGGACTCCCCATCCGACCCCGTAAAGTTGCTCCACCTTGTAGAGAGTACCATACCCACGGCCTTCATCTCGTGCGGGGAGTTCGTTTGCCTCGTACCTCGACTCGTTTCCACGATACGGCATCTTCCCGCAACGAAGGTCTAATACAAGCAACAGCAATCAATCGTCAAGCTGTTCAGATAGCTAGCGTGCGTCACTTTTGTTTTCCCTTCGAGAGTGTTATTCGAAATCCTCTCGCCCCCATGTCAGCCAGCCCACGCCAACCTTCTTGACATGGCCGTTGTCTGTGTTTGCCAGATGTGCGCCGATCTGTGCGACGGCACCAGGTACTTCGGGACGCAAGACGGCACTGAGGTGATGAGCTGTGCAGCAAACCTGAAAAGGGTTAGGCTTAGCGTGGGAAAAATACAAGCGCCACGACAGTGGTTCGAAGAGTTTGGTTGTGTCTAGGGAAGACGCAGCACAAAAGAAAACACCACCACCGTCGTCGCGACATGCCCACTGCTCTTTGTTCCGTTTCTACAGTAGTCGGCTTTGGCTAATGATGTTGCCCACCGCACTATTTCTCCCTGGAAGAACAAAATGGTAGGCTTCGTCTCCGCACTAGGCACCGTAAAACGCGTACATATTGGCTACAAAAAAGGGGTTTCCTCCATCACTCGGTCGGTGGCGACCGCGGCAAGGTCAAATATTGAGAAACGCACCTCGCCGAATCAAGCCGAAAGCTGGTGCCTTTCTCGCTGCCCCTCTTTCTGATTTCGGGCTTGCTTGTGTGCCATCGGATTCGTACGTACAGTGCTGGTGCTCTGCTTCGAAGGATAGGCCCCGCAAGCACGGCAAGTCGAAGAGCTGCAACAAGGCCTGCCCCGGCACCAGTCGCATCAAGACGTGCGGAGGGCGTAGCTCGTTGTCCGTCTTCAAGTTCGAGGGCGAGCCGGAGGACGTCCCGAGGGGCTCCAAGTACATGGGTTGCTTCGCGGACGACATCTACAACAGAGCGCTGACGCTCAAGGAAACGAAGAGCTCCAAGATGGACTACGATGTGAGCCGTCCGTGTCGACTAGGGTCTTTGTTGGAGTTTCCTACCCCCGCTACAGCTGTTGTTGTCGCTGTTTGCCCTTGTGATAATAAGGTGTCTTGGGACTCATCGGCAGGTGCTCGCGACGTCTCGAAGATTACTGCTACTACAGTACTCCTGTCGCTTCAACGAGACAGTCTCATCCTTCTAAGAAATTGATTGGCGGATCAATGTACTCTGCATTTTTGATACAAATGTGATATACACAACAAAGGCAGAAGGTGGCCAAGCCGAAAGCCTCTCGTTGCAATAAACTACCTAGGGGTCCCGAGCAAGGACTACGGCCTGCACAAGAACATACCTTCCTCCTGCGCCCGCAGTTCCCGTTACCACTCTTTTCGGCGATTGACTGCTATCCGCGTGTTTCTCTTCTTTTCCTTTTGCAGATGTGTGAGAGCTTCTGTGATGCGGCGAACGCCAGGTACTTCGGGCTTCAATCTGGCACAAAGTAAGCCGAACGTGAATGAAAGCACATCGATCCTCAAAAGTCTCAAGGCTACTCTCGGGAATTTCCTCGCAGAACTTTTCCCGCGAGATTTTCACGGGAATTGTAATTGGTGACGCCACCGAGAATGTTTACAGTTGCCGTACCCATCCAAACCATTACAAAGGAAACGGCCTTCTCCCATTAACTTCCAAATCGTTGCCAAGGATAGACGTCACATCCCGTTGTTCCCACCCAACCAATTACCGTGCAAATACCGAAATCCCGTGGCGTTTGGTTACCACCCAACCAACCAAGCACTTATCGCGCACATATTCAATTACCAGCACTGTACCGTAATTTCAAATCAAGTACTGTAGAGCAGCTGAGACGACTACAAGTCACCTCCAGGCGCGCGCGGTAGGTTACGGGTTCGACGCTCGCTCTGCGTCTCTCCTTTATCTCTTCGATGAAGCGAGTGGAGACCCTCTTCAAGTTTTGCCGTGATGGCCAGTTACCATCCACAAAATGCCCTGTATTGCCGTGTTCGCTGCTTCCCGCACCAATCGCTGGCGCACCGAGAAAAAGTTACCGAGCGGAGACTTGATTTTATTTTTATTTTCTCTCACGCTTGGTGTCGTGTGTTGATAGTTTTGACAAAGATACTTCCAATTGCTCGCGTCTGTCCGACACCTCCTCTTTGGCACTCGTCAAGATTAAGAACCCTGCTATCAAGCCTGCTATCAATCAATGTCGATTGCTAGCGTCCTCCTCGTACTTTTGGCACTTTCCTCATCCTCCTAAACGAGCGAAACCTAAGATCTCTTCCGCAGAAAAGTAACTCGGCAGACAGTGCAAGCAGAGAATGATTCCATTGCTAATCTGTCTTTGACTCTTTTCTCTGACGGAAATGGACTCGTTGTGTTGTATTTGGAAAAATAAAAAAAATAATAATAATAGCGGGCTACAACCAGGGCAAGGGTATGCCCGCAACTCGTTTTTTTTTGTGGAGGTACAGTAATTGTAGTGACGGGTGCGCTCCTAAGTATGAAGCAGCTGCACTACACAGACAGCTGTTGACCAACTCTTTTTTTTCCGGCTTCTTCTGATGTTTTCCTACGCCTCCTCCTATGAAATTGAAACAACTTTGACCAGGTGCTTCTGCGGCAAAAGGGAGGACGACTACGACGAACACGGTCCCGCCTTATGTTCCACGGAGTGTGCGGGCGACTCCAAGTCTGTGTGCGGCGATAGCTTGGCGCAAACCGTTTTCCGAATTAAGTCCGACTGAACGTGCCGTGTTTCGTCCTTATTTTCAATTTGAAGCGGCAGCCAGCGTGGAAACCAAACCGAGAGCGCCCTCTTGTTCATAGTACGAAAACGAAACAGGTCAGTTTGCGTTGCCAACTATCCGTTGATTTCCCATGAGATTGAGGCCAGCTCTTCATGCTGCCGGCACACCGTTTCCAGCGGGCGCAGGCTCTGCCTTCCAGGAAGTACGGAGGAGGCAGTGTCATAATGGCGTTCTTTTGAAGTGGGTGGTGCTAAAAAGCTCGTTGTGTTGTTTCGTGCCCCATTTTCCATTATTCCACCTGTCTGTCACGTTGTACAGAGCAAATGGTTTCATGTTCTTCTCCGGTCTTGAACAATAGTAGTCGTTCGGTGAGACCTAGCCGCCCCCTTCCTACGGCTACCTATGGTGGCGACTTTTTGTTGAGGGCTGGCGTCGTGTACGGGAACTCCTCTCTCTGGTACGCACACAGAGTCAACCTTGATAAGTCTAGTCGAGTCTGTCTGCATATTCTACATCGTCAGTAGAGGGACGACCCCCAGTTCGGAAGAAGGTGTGACTACAGTATGTTTGAAGCAACAACCGTGAATGTTGCGAGGCTTAGCCGACCCGGAGCAGCACTGCATGTTTAGCACCGATGACCGTGTGTGTGTGTATAGATGGATTTTGGTTCTGCACGAAGTATACGTGTAGGCCGTGTAACAGTAGGGGTAGTCTCCGAACTGTGTTTGTTCTCTCGCCCCCGTGTTTTGGCCTAGGACATATAAATAGTCGGTTACGGAGCTTGCCCCCGGCGACTAAAGGTCGACATTCAGAGACAGCGAAACCCCACTGTAGTCGAGTTGCACTTGTTTTTGTGGGGGGAGCCGTGTTCTCGTCGACGCCAATGAGGTTACTGGTCCCTGTCTCAGACAGCAGCCGGTACTTTTGCAGTATTCTCCCACTGCCAAGGGTGGCTATTTCCTTTCGTGAGATGTAACGAGGAGAGGAAGGTAGAAAAAGAGTGACCAGAGGGTCGAGAGAGGCAGGCGGAGGCTCCCCATTTCGTCCCTCGGCAAGCGGCCATGGACTTCGGAAGAGACAAATCTCCTCGGTGCTTTACTTGCCACTTCTTCTCCCGATGGCAAGTTATCCCGAGGAATCATATCTTCCTACACTTTGTATGTGAACAAATGGTTGGTTATATATTCCGGCAGGTGTCCTCCACATGTGTATAGATAGATTTTGGTTCTGCACGAAGTATACGTGTAGGCCGTGTAACAGTAGGGGTAGTCTCCGAACTGTGTTTGTTCTCTCCCCCCCGCGTTTTGGCCTAGAACATGGAGTCGGTTATGGAGCTTGCCCCCGGCGACTAAAAGGTCGACATTCAGAGACAGCGAAACCCCACTGTAGTCGAGTTGCACTTGTTTTTTGGGGGGAGGGGGGCTTGCTCTCTTCATCGGAAGCAGCATCAGAATCAATTGAGTGCTACTTAATGTCGAAATATTGTATGCCGTGCGAGAAGCAAATACCGTTCGTGCGCTTCCGTGGCGAAATGGAATTGTTAAGTAGATGGTGATGCAGTCGATGCTGCATGCAGTAGATGCTCTTTCCCCTTGGTTGTTTTCATCTGCAGCAGATGCCCCTGCCTGGCCTCTTTAGTTGTTTTCATGATAATACGTTGCATTGCATGCATGTATACATGTCTAATAGTTGCCCCATACTCGACCTCTCATCGGTTTCCCGCGCGTACTCGGCAAAATAACTACAGTACTTAGCTTACCTGATTCTCAAGAAGAATGAAACCAAAGAGAGAGCTCGAATACCCAGTGGCTTTCAGCTCAACACGCGCGCAAACGATCGCCACCGACATCGAAACCAGACCAGGGAATACCTCTCACAGTAGATGGCGACACGCTCATGTATTCATGTAGATATCTTGAAGGGAGAGCGTAGTACGCCTGTCTACAACCCTCCGGTCTGTTTGTCGTTCATGTACCCACTTCGTAACTTGCGCAGACGCGGAGCATGTCGGTTTGGCGGAGGGCGGGGGTGCACGCACTCACTCGTTGTCTGCCGCTCAGACCGGACACCTCACTCTCAGCAGGGGGTAAAGCATCCCGGGTTTACACCGGGCCGGGTTTGCGTTGACCAGGCGCGAAGCCGCCGGATTACAATGTTCTGGGCGAGGTGCACGAGCAGTGAGAGCTGCAACCTACCCAGAGTGTTCCACCCCCCCCAAAAGAGTGTGGTTAATACATACCCATTGAATCTTGCCCGGTCACCTTAATCGGTCTCAAAAAACAAGCTCCGACAAAGTGACTGGGAGAATTCGTTTGGGCGCAGGCCGCCAACATGAGCTGGTGTGACGAAGAACAACAAACCAGAGCGCGCGCGCGGGGAGGGGGGGGGGAGGAGAGTAATTGGACGCCTAAGTTAGGACATGCAGACACACCCAGCAGCCCCGAAGCCCCCACTGCAGAAGATGATGACCAAACACTCGTTCAGCAACGAATGGGGCGGGGGCGGGGGGGGGGGGGGGG